TATGGCATGCAGTAGTTGCTCTATATTGTCTCAAAGTTCACACCACAGACAAGTCTCAACTCAGCTGAAGTCATAATGAACAGAAGCGCGTGGCTTGGTTTGGGCGTCTTTGAGCGGCGGGACTGGAGTGGAGCGACTCTTCATTACTGGGGCTTATTGCCGACACCTCGACAACGTCTACAGTCTTGTAGGAAACTTGGCGAAACTTGCTGAATTGACTGTAGTAGTAAGTGGTGGGAATCGCTGGGAGTGATATTGATGTAGCTAATGTTTGATATAAATCTGCATTCGATACACATTGCACCGTTCATATACTGATATATTATAAATTAATTTGTAGCTTTTCAGAATTTTCCTTTCACCCAAAAAGGTTTTGTTGTTAATTATGTAAACTAACGTTTTCTAAGAAACGGTAAACGCTAGAAAACAAATTAAACGCGTATTTTGAATGTCATTGTGTTAGTAATATAGATGTAAAAGCAAGATGTAAAACTTACAGCATGTTAATAGTATTTATTGATACACAAATTGTTATACATGAAATTGATTGTACAAATGGCGATTTTGCCGTAAATAAATAAATAAAAAAATATAAATGTTTATAATACAAAGGAGTATTGTCACGGATATCATTGATATAAACTAACATGTAATTAGTTGCGCCCGCTTTTAGAGCTCATCACAGCCGGCAGCCGCCATCTTAGTAAAGATTAGTGAAAAATACTGGCTTCACGTCGCGGCCAACATGCTCCATCTACACATATCACTATTGGACACACGGGTGGTCCGTTCGGCCATTACATTGAGATTATTGCTTACACTATTTACTGTGGTCATTAACAAAATTAAGAACCACAAGTTCCTTTGTGAGTGTTCCAGCATTGTTGTGGTCGACACGTGGATTGAAACTAAATATTACTACTTGTAACCCATCATTTTTATAGTGCTAATAATTCCTTGAATTTTGATTGATTTACTACAAAACCAATGTACACACTACCTAATATGCACATACCTAAGGCGTGTACATAACTTAATATAGTTTTTGTATTTTTAGATTTATCAGAGAGTAAAATAAATCTACTATTACGTTTATAATCTTATTACTTCTTGGTATCATCTGCATAAGGCTTCTAAATAATTGCTTTTGTTCTACTAATGATTCGTAAGGATCACAACGATGTAAACATACATAAAAATGTGTTGTCATATTACATATGCTTGGTCATCTCTTAATTTGTAGTAGCCTATGCTAGGAGGATGTTTCCTCTTATGTAGTATGTTATTAAAATATTACCTTTGTCTTTCGATTTTTAGTTTAGTATTTTTGAATATATTTCTTTCAGTTGAATTTTTTATATCATGCTTTATAATTGTAATATTTGTTAACTGGGCGAATAAATTATGACGTATCTTGCATTGTTCCAAGCTGCGTAGTCAGTTTTTCTTGCAATATTCGGTCCAACCAGAAATATTTTACTTTACTTGTAATAGTTGTAATGTACGTTATCTAATTATTTGTCTCTTTATATTACAAAGTACCGGGGGATTTGGTCTCACGTGATCGTTGCGGGGGACCGAACCTTGTTCGGTTGTGGTTAATTGGTTTTGATCATCTATATAATTAATTCGCTACATGAAACTTTGTCGGTTGAACTCCTCCGCCATTTCTTAACCGATTTTATCCATTGACGTCTCATTGGAAAGAGCGTGTCGCGTAGATTTGCAAACTGGCCTTACATTTTTGAAAAAGTCCCTTGGGCTCTGCCCCAGTGGCTTTGAAAGTTTCCATGTTATCCTTATGAAGAACATAATTGTTTACATTTTGATCAGCTGTATAATTTAACTGCTGTTATTTATTTTTCAATTCAATGAAACACATTGAGTACGTTTATTTACTATTTGAGTTTGTTTAAACATAACCCCAAAGACGGATCGTGTTAGTATGGTTGTATCTTAAATTTGTGTATTTATCGTTGTTTTGTGTCGCTATGACGGATCGTGTTAGCATGATTGTAACTTAAATTTGTGCATTTATCGTTGTTTTGTGTAGCTATAATTTTTTTATTTTTTTTCTTCTTTTAAATGCCTCCGACGCCACGACAACGAAACATAGACAGGAGGCGTAATCGTGATAACGACCGCAGCTACAGAACAGTGGCGCGTAATAGGTTTAACTCATCACAGTCAGCACCTGACCCTGGACAATCTCAACTATTGGTTACAAATGCACCCTAACACTACCCCAAAATGACTTTTCGTTCTCAATTGGCCCTCTATCAATGACCTGTGTTGCCTGTACAGCGAGGTATTTTGAGGAGAAAACCGGCCGGAATGATTTAGGTTTATCAATAACGAAGATAAACACGGTCTGAGTTACACACCGGTAATCTTGAGTTGACTCTTTTAATTTAATTGTAAATATGACTGTTGTTCGTTTTAAAATAAATCCTGTAAAACTTTGCAATTGCTCAAATTCGAGCAACATGTACACTAGTAAATACAATTTCTTAAACATACATATTATAATTTACGTATCATAGTGTAGGATACCATTGGAATGATAATTTGTAAGGGTTTGATAGATATGATAATTTTAAATCCTAAGGAAGTTTTGTTAGTGACAAAATAAAAAATCACTGAAATATAATATTCTTTAAATAAATAGTTTGTATTGGACCAAGGTAGTGGTAATTTTAACATTAATTCCATTATTAGTTGTAGCAGTGTCATCAAATTTTTAAAATTTATTTACAGAGACGAAAATTTGAACTATTCAAAAAAATTATTGTTGTATGAAAAAAATCGCAAAAGTACTAAACGAGTGCCTTTCTTAATGTGTAAGCGACGGGTATACGTTTTCCATTAACAATTACAAAGGTTTAGTTAATTTAGTTTTCTTTCATAAATGTTATTCTCCCATTCTATATTCCTTCAAGGCCTTATTTTAACCCCACCGTTTAACCAACAATTAATCAAAGACCAAAGTACATGAGAATTGATTGCAGGAATCAAGGCTAGACTCATGTTTGGACTGAGGCCAGTTGTAGCTCGAGTCACTTCAAAAGAAATCCCAACGGAGACATGTGGGTACCAAGTCTCATAAATTCGTTCGTATAAAAATTTGTAACAATCTAAATTTTAAACTTTCCTCCATTTATTGACACGCAACAATTTCAAATAATAACTTGCAATTTAATTTGTAACACAAATTTTACCTAGATACATGCTTAATATTATGCTAGTTCTAAAATAATTAGTTTGGATTTGTTAATCTTATGTTAAAAAATTTAGTGTCTTTACCTTTATGTTATATTTTGAATGTGAATTCGCACTTAATTGGGGATATTTGTTCTTCTCATACGTACTAATACACAGTTTGAACCTTATAAAATCTTGTTATAAATGTAAGACTGGAATTCATGTGTAAGAAACAAATAAACAAAATTCTTTATAAAAATGCTTGTGTTGATCTCAAATAATCTAAGTGGTCTCGTAACAAACAATCCTGGGCTAGAGCTTAGGGACTGTAGTAACATCAACGGATCCATTTTAATAACATAGTAGACAATAAAACTTAAAGATTATGAACCGTGAAGTAAACAAAGTACTTCAACATATTAGCTCCTTCGCTGATGCTCGTTTTGTATAAACATTTTCTCAAGCGAGTTATTTCCGAAAGTAAACAAAGTAGAGCTCAAACGGTTGAAATTTACGCGGTGGCGGGGTCGCGTCGCCACAAATCATGCTTTAGGGCGGGCCCCCGTTAGCGTCTCATTTGGGCTGTGGGAAATTTATTGATACGGCCCCGTTAGTTTCAAAGTGTCACTGTTTAAGCGTCTGAGGTATTTTTGGATCATCTTTGTCGCCGGAACAAAGGCTTGGGTTCCGGTTGATTTGCTGCCACAGGAATAGCTTGAAGGATGACCGACTAGGAGCGACAATTGCGCCAATTCATTAGGCTTTCACAACAATGGCGGGAGAAATACGGCGCTTTTAGAGGTCTTTGTAGCAGACTTCAACAGTATCTAGTCGTCTTTGTCTTAGCAGAACATCTGTTAGGGAGACAACAGCTGTTTTGTTTTGGGGTTCACGCCTCATAAATAATGGACTGATATGAAGTTTGGTGTTCATAATTGTGTTGGTGAATTATCAAACATTTTTTGATGTTTTGAGTTGTTTATGATGTAAGTAAAATTGATGGATTTTTCTCGAAATTAATCGTAACGGTATGGAATAAAATCTGTGAGAGGGACGTGTAGGTCTCCCCTCTTGCTCGTATGCAGCCCTTATCTTAGAAAATGCTCTTCATATGATAAGAATCACCATACATTTTATGAAGTGATGTTTTCTCTTAAATTATGTTGTAATTTATTATTATTATAAATTATATTATAATTGTTAGTAAATTTTTGAAAATTGTAATTGACACCTACCGGTAATGATTAAATAGCCATAATAAAAATAATGAAGTTCAGAAATTATAACAAAATAATGCAAAGCTTTTTACCATAGGTTAAAAAGAGTAGAGCTGCTTTCTTTAATCTATGATTTTATATACTAACCAATAAAATCTCAAACAGTATTTATACATAGGATGAGAGAAAAATATATTCTAGGTTAATGTAAAAATAGAATTAGTGTAACATTATGTGTTTAAAATATCTATGTGTTATAGATTTAATACAATAGTATTAAATTCGATCTTTAACTTCAACTTCAGTAGTATTTAATAGTGAATGTTTATAGCTTTCCGAATGCAGTCTAGTGTGTATTCAATTGATAACAATTTTTCAAACTTGAGTTCAAACACCTTAAATCTATTCAACATGCTGAATTTTTCTATACATACATTTTCTTATTCACACTTGAAACGTCAAAATCAATTTTTGCTCAACAACCAAATTTAAAGCGGGTTCACTTCTCACTTGACTGTATCATTGTTTTGTCGTATTACTTCCTTGACGTCAATGTCCCGATGGGTTAATAAAACACAGATGTGTGGCATAATAACGTGTAATATCATGTAAACCTAATGACAAGAAGAATGGCTTAGCTGACGCAGCAGCCCGTTCGTATTGGAGGCAGAGTATGATTTTAAAATAAAAAAATAAACAACAGACATTTCAGTAAGTTAAGTACAAAATTCAAGTAGAAAAGTAATTTCTAGGATATTGATTGAACAACAAAAATTCAAGTAGGTTACAATTCAAATAGGTTGTTATCTATATGATGTAATAGAACACTGATTATGTGGTGATTTTAGTAGTACTGTTAGTATATTGTACATTTTTCTTAATTAAGTTTTACAAAGATTTAAAGATATTTCCTGCCTCCATTGAGCACCATTTTTAACACAAAGAATACTCTATACTATTAACAATTTACAAAAACATGTTACATTATAAACAACAGAGTTTATAAACAATAAATTATCTTTAAAGCTATACTTTATATCTTCCCTCATAGACAGAACCTTGTTTATAAAGAATTGTAGATCACTTTACATTTAGTGATTTTCTTAGATATTTTACAAAGTGAGGAACATAAAGGTAAATTACTAGTTGTGGTTCTGTTTACAGAATTTCGAAGTCTTAATAATAATTGTTAATTTTATAGGTAAATCTATAACCAAAAGTTAAATTTACTAAAATCGTTGTACCTTCTAAGATCAATAATTGTCATATTTTTATAACTACTGTATCTTAAAATAAGCTTTATAATATCAAAATCACAACATTGAAAACGTAAGTAATACATCGCCAAGATGTTTAGGATACACACGATCCTGAGAAAAGCACACTATAGATCACAAAATAATATAAAATCGTGAAATTAAACTGAACACCAACTTTCGGAATAATTTGAAAATTCAAACAAAATACAGATATTGTACAACAACGTAACTTAAAACACTCAGAAAATATATAACACAGTGGACATTAACAAATGAGAAATCAGTCGAGTATAACCTAAGTGTTTACAATGAGTATTTAAATCTTTTTTACAATCAGTTACTCACTATAGTCTGTATGATGTAACCTGTCACCTGACGCTTCTTCTGCCCAGGTAGGTGGAGTGTCAGGAGACGGGTCTAATCATACAAAGTTTAACACCCATGGTGGCGCTAAGTTGTACACGTGGCGGACTACAGAACTAGTAATGTACAAGGCTAAAGCTACCTACCTACATTGCACACAATGGCGATTTGTCAATATTTACAAGAATCACAAGCAGGGAGTCGCTCGAGTGGTGGACGAGGGAGGAATGTTAAACTATTTGCACGAGTCGTTATATGTATGTTCTTGGTTATCAAATTGTAAACACAAATGGAAAAATACGTTTTACGTAAGTTTAATTTAAAGCAACATTTGTTCTAAATTTTCTAGAGGAATAGTGCACAATGTGATAAGAAACGATACTACACGAAACAATAAAACTAAACCAAACAATTTGAAACCTCAACCCTAAGTGTAATAATTCACACATATTTAAAGTGGAAATAAATCTAATATAGGACTTTTAAATTGAATGAGATATTTTTCTACATGTTCTACAGCGGGGTGTAACTTACATGTTAATCAGAAAATACATTAAAAAAACAATAAACCTAAGCCACGGTTTTGAAGATAAATAAACACAAAACGTTTACGGATTAAAAGAATTATAATTTTCAAAGGAGCTACGCGAAGATAATCCAGGTAAATTATGAGGCCATAATTCGAATGGCTCGTTACACAAAGATTCCTAGGACATTACCTCCGTGAAGGGGGATTGTGTCGACCTATCTTGAAACATCCGCCGCTCTCCACAAATACCCCTTATCTGGCGACCAAAAGTTGCGCAAAAAGTCACAAACTCACGTAAATACACCGGTTAAGTGAATCTTTCCTAGGAAAAAGAGAAAGTAATTCCTAGAGATCATTTTGATGGTCTCCATTTAGCCCGGTACGCTGGGTAACGACAGTCGAGGCTGTTATAGCATTTCTCTCCGGTGTCCTGTCTTTAGCGCATTTCTCTATAATCAGCTGATCATTACGCGCCATTTTTCCTCTGTTTCCAGTTTATAGGTTAGACGGTCTCGCTAATCGCCCCGCCAAGGACTTCCACAGAGTAATGGTAGTGCACTTAGTGGAATAGAGTAAGAAACGCGACTTTAATTGGGTCACGGTTGGAGGAGATGTGTTAAAGCAGCTTTTGCAATGTCATACATACACGTAACAACGATTTCCTTAATTTTTTTCATAAATTTGAGTTGAATATGGTATTCAGGTTATTCGATATCATCACTCGTTAAATATGCAACGTTAGTGCTGTATTCAAAACGTGTTCGAATGTTCAGCCAAAAATTTCATCAAACACGATGTCTCAAGGAAATGTAATCCACAACAAAATTTCAAGTTAATATACAAATTGTTTCAGAAACGAGAGTCTGCTAGAGATCAATTCAGATTCACATAATGCCACCACTCAGCGCTCCCGTTGGAATACAAGGAAAGGATCTCAACACTAGAGTCTTTGTCTTTTCTTGCTGCACGAGATAGTTCTAGAGGTCCCAGTAAATCCTGAAGGTCCTTGAAGGTCCTGGAGTCCTAGAAAGGCCTGAAGGATACCGAAGACTGGGAGGCCGCCGCTCAGAACCAGTAGAGATCTGACTTGGAAGGGTCCTGAACTGACGATGCGTCTAGACCTGAAACAAAAGTTGAAGGTGAGTTTTCAAAGTCACACATGTGATGGTCAGCGGGTTAATATTCAATTTAAAATGTACAAAGGTGTTTATGAAATAAATTTAATCTTCCTAGATAAGCTTCCAGGCTGACACCCGATTGCGCTGATGGTCGAAGAAATTTACACGCCTTCCACTATCACTAGATTCGGGGTCATCCGGGACCGACCGTGACAAATACCACGCAACACCATCCACCACCAGCAACGTGTTGGTCTCGATGTAGAGTGCCATCTTCAGGGGAACTTGAATGTCACTTGACTTCTGCACAGTTGTAGCAAGTAAGGATGAATACGATACTAGAGTTTTCTCACAACCCTGTCGATCCAAAGACCTCAGGTGTAATAACAAGGGAATAAGACAACTGCGAGCCATGTGAACGGTAGTGTTCCCTCCACGTTGACCAAAAATAATTTTTTACTGAAGATGCAAGAAGAGAATAGGCTACAGAATGCGGAGAATATTTCATAAGCTTAATAATAATAAGCAAAAGTGTGTAGTGCCGGGGTTACGATACTTTGCATTTTGACTATATTGGTGTAGTAAACAAAAGTTACAAGTGCGCATTTACATCTTTGTTAGAAACTATGACAATATCACAAAAAACTTTATAAATATCCCAGAATCCCCGACTGTGAAACCCACATAACGCCAAACCCCACTTAATAAAGAAAACAATAACGTGACAGCTGAGTTGTTTGACGTACTGCTCAGACAAAATCAATTTGTCCGCTTCGTCAAGCGGGACACGTTTATTATTGTGGCAATTCCATCCTGGTTTTGGGAACCACGTGTGGTTGTCAATGAGGCGCAAACTACAAATCTGGCGGCGCGGCGCGGCTCCTCCTGGGGGATGGGGGAAGGAACTGATTTTCGGGTCCTATAGCTAAGGTATACGCTTAGCAATATAACCCCCTGATCACCAGGTAGAATGGTGACAACCCCATATTGCTAAATGTTTGGTTATTCAATGTGTTTTTCTAGGCTTGTGATATCACAATAGGGTTGTTAATAAACTGCATATAAAATATTTATCCACAGTAGGTACGCAATAGGAGTATTTCAATGTAATTATTTTTGAAATTTAAGTTTGTTTAAAGGATAACAGCTGTGTTTACTTTAAAGTCGCTGGTTTTATCCTTTTTATATGTAGCCTAAATCCCTTTGTACAAATGTCTGTTGTCTGTACAAGTTTAGAATTTTGACACTTTATTACAATCAGTGACACTCTAAGGTACTAATTTTTAGCTGAACAATATAAACCAGTTTAAAAGGACAGTTCGCCTCTTTATGGGTTATGGGTGTATATATTATGGGTAGATATATTAGTGTTTAACAAACATTTTTATAAAAATATCGTACAATACAAATAATGTGCATAAGCATAAGTCAGTACAACAATTTCCAAGAAGTTACTACCTATTTAAAAATTAATTTCACCGAAAAGTGTTGTAGTTTTAAACCATCCCTTATATATGTAAAATAGAACCATCAATTACTTAATTTCCCAATACGAGTAAGAGAAAATATGTTCTCGCGGAGTTCATTAATATTTTTGTAGCAAAATGTAAATGCCGAGAGCAATTTTTACTGTCACTAAATGCAGAGTAGAAAAAGTGCAACCTAAATTTACAATGTATTAATATAAATATATCAATCAAAAGATGTTTGCATTTCCTTAGCTTATATAAACAGTTACCACATAAAAAAATATTAATAATTGCTAAACGCTGACGTTTTTCTCGTCACAATTCGTTGAAGAGGCTTCGCCGACAAAATCGTCTTCCAGGAAAATTCGCAGGGAGACATTTAACTATTGGTCTGTCAACTTGAAAACAATAACCGCTAAACGGAGGAAAAAGTGGATCAGAAGAAGAACATCAAAGGCGGCTTGGTGAGGTGGGAGCGGGTCGTGATATTGCCAATAAACAGCTGTTTTTGTCGCTGAACATCTGATTGAGAACCTTACCTCAACGCTGCCTTGAGGGGAATATCTTCTAGCTTGCTGCGCCATGCGGTTTTCAGCAATTAGACATTTTTTTACACTCTTTCGTAAAATATCACATTTCTTAGCCAACGCATTATTAGATGTTAACAAAACAAATGTTTTAATTTTTCTTGTATCCGGACATTTCACTTTAGAGGTACAAAACAGATTTTGAAAAGGAGTAAAACAACCCCTTTAAAATTATAGACATATTCTAAATCGAACTGGACGATTTTGATGATATGCGCAGTGGTGTGGACGTCATTTTTTACAATGTGCAAAAAATTAGGATCACCCTACTCAATAAGCAGTTCACTTAGGACGCGTTGTTCTTTGGAAAAAGGCAGAGTGGGAAGGCCGTTCCTACCCCATTACACCACTGGATATGCGACTAATATTTTTGGATTAGTGGAAAATCGTATTTAAACGAATCATAGCCAAAACATCAAATATACTTAAATATTGTTTATTCTGTGTCTGTGTGTGCTTTGAAAGGATCCCAATACTGTATGTACTTTACGTACATCCTAGTCGATAAACAGTTGTACTGTAATTTGAACCTCCCTCAAGCACTGTGTTGTCTATTTGGAAATATGATAACTAGATATAGGCTATCCAACCAAAAAATATAAATCTGAACTCAATTAATTTAATTCCGACTTGCACCCTAAACTAGTCACTATCAGAAACGATTCAGACTTAAAACATGGACATATTCCCAAGATGATGGAATTCGGAATCCCCAGTGTTTTGCCAAGGTTTCATAAAAGCCCAGATCGTGAAATAAGGTAACAAATAGACCTTAGACCGTACTGTGGTGCAAGTGAGAGGGAACTATCGTGTACAAGTACAAGAGAGAGACGGAGAACTGCAGTTGCAGCTATGGCGTCATTGGTTGCCATGACGACGAGGGTGTGGTCAGTCTCGACCAATCGGAAGTGGCGGCTAGGCAAATAAATAATAATTGCCACCAACCGAGAACTACTCGACTAACAGTACAGTACAGTACAATTACTGGCTGCTGCGCGCTACCGCGACCCCGACTTGACTAATGAACAAGGTAAAAACTTTTGAAAGGGACTTTCCAAGTTTTCGAGTAAGTCGGTCTCAATTACCCGTGGCCCGAATAGGCTTAATTGTGGAAACTTTAATTGTACTGAGTTCGGAGTTAATTAAAATACTTTGGGTTAGCTTGGAAAAGGGAACGTGCGGATTTGGCATGTTCTGTGTGTTACTGAATTTTCAAAAACTACACGAATATGAAGAATTTGCTCAATAAGAATCATACCGTAGATTTAGTTATTTGTCTGTTGTTTGTTTGTTACTACGTAAATGAATCAATGCTAGAATTTATCTTCAATTGTAAACAACATTTACTTGCAATTTATAAGTGTTATAAACTAACAACGATTATTTTGCCTACTTGGAACTTATTTCTTTTTTCCCATTACACCGTTCTTCTTTCAACAATCTACAATCTTTCTACAATCAGTTTATATTTGATAGATAATTTAGTAGACATTTTATTCTTGTCTATAGACTTAAAAACTTGCCTTACAGTGACTTAAATACCAACGTGCATTTTATTAAGACATAAGATCAATTTATTTCCTGTAAAACTTACAATACAAGTCATTGGAAAACGTCATATTCTACATTATAAAATACATTATAAAATATACATTAAGATCTATGAATAAAAATAAATTCCTTCAACATCATATTACAATTATTATGGGTGAAAAGGGAATGTGGTAAACTGCCTGTGTATGAAGCCCGAATTCTTGAAAACTATAAAATAAATGTACAGATAAGTAGCATACGATATATACAAAATACTTTTATATTGTTGTGTTGTATTAATTTTCCTATTTATTGCATATTCGTCTCAAAGTTGACTGCTGAATGTTTTCTTAAACTGTTTTATTAACTGATTATTACGTTTTGTCAATTATTTATCTATTGGTTGTTTTACCGTTGGAATAAATTAATGAATAAAATCCACAACACAGAAATAAGGAGATATACGGTTATAATTGCTGGAGATAAAGCTAAAAATTCAATAGAAACCCTAAAATATGTTTCCACATAACCAACGCGGACTAATAAATATACCTAATTATACAGTGTGTAAATTAAGTATGGAAACAAATCTGTATTTTTAAAACCGAAATAGATAGAAATATTCTATTTGTGGCAATAATAGTTAACAAAGATTCCGCAATTTTTCACATGAAAAATATTTTTTTACCCCCCTAACAGGGTAGGTGGTAGGGGGTGACTTATTTTTTTCAAATAGCAACCCCTATTGAGTGACCCCTCATTTTGAAGGGTTTGTCAAAAGAAACACAATGACGCAAATCCGAGGTGAATATCTCACTCCTAGCTAACATGGCGGATATTCCAAAATGGGCTTTTTTTTACAAAAATTAAATTTTTCATTACCCACCATTTAGGCTAGGGGTGAAATATCTACCTCGGGTTTGCGTCATTCTTTTTCTTTTAACAAACCCTTCAAAATGAGGGGTCACTCAATAGGGGTTGTTGTTGAAAAAAATAAGTCACTCCCACCCCCTACCCTGTTAAAGGGGTTGAAAAAATATTGTTGATTAAAAAAATTGCGGAACCTATGTCAACAATCAATTCCACAAACAGAATATTTCTATCTATTTCGGTTTTAAAAATACAGATTTCTTTCCATTATTTGTGAAATTGGTGCTTTTCACGTACAATAAATCAAATTTTGGAATATCCGCCATTTGGGCTAGGAGTGAGATATTCACCTCGGATTTGCGTCATTGTGTTTCTTTTGACAAACTCTTCAAAATGAGGGGTCACTCAATAGGGGTTGCTATTTGAAAAAAATAAGTCACCCCCTACCACCTACCCTGTTAGGGGGGTAAAAAAATATTTTTCATGTGAAAAATTGCGGAATCTTTGTTAACTATTATTGCCACAAATAGAATATTTCTATCTA